ATTCATAGGTAAGCTAGGGATTGAGATGAGTTGAACAATCGTAGGTAGGCTAGGGCTTAACATTAGCTATAAAGTTTCAAGTAAAATGAAAACGTTAAAATATGTAAAATACAATGCCTGGAACGTGTAAAATTCATAAAACTTAGAAATACAAATTTGTAGGTAGGTGAGATGAGTTAATCATTATAAGTAAGCTAGGGCCCTGTGAGTAATTTAATTGTAGGTAGGTGACTGACTACTATTCTTACGACTTTTTACTATTTTTTTGTTATGTGTTTGTTTTTGCTTCACACCCCCACACCAACAAAGCATACTGAATTTTTTTTCGTTGTCGCCTTAAATTTTATTTTTTTGAACAATTTTTTTAATGTCTATTTATATATCAAATGTTGACTGTTTACGAGTTTTTTTTTAATTTGGTTATATAATTTTTAGTATTTTTTGATTTACTTTGTATATATGCATGAATAAATAATTTCTGCTTGGTATGTTGATTTAGCCATCACGACATGTTGTGAACTGTTCTTACTACTGCATACATACATAAATACATCTATACTAATAAACATATAAACAATAATATAACCTAATAACTATTTTTTTCCTCATCAATAAGGTAAACATACTTGCAAACACCCATACATACGTACATCAATACAAACAAACAAGTCAACATACAAACATACTGCATACACACAAACATACATGCACTGACACATACAAAGTTATGTTATATACATAAATGCATACATACAAACAGCTAAATTGAATACAATATCATTCATACACAGAAAAAAAAAATTGCCCATTTCTTCTTCGGAGAAATCTATTCATACTTTACATTTGCTTTCAAATTAAGTATCACAACATTCGAATTAACTTTCTTCTAGTTTTAATGAGAATAGGATCTCTGAGGACTTTTGCCTAAATACAAATCTTCGCGTAACATTAGAAACTCAACTCATCACACACACACTAACCCGTTATAATAGCTGATCTTTATAATGAAATATATTATAAATAATTTAACCTAATAACTATTTGAGGACTTTTGCCTAAGTACGAATCTTCGCGTAACATTAGAAACTCAACTCATCACACACACTCTAATCCGTTATAACAGCTGATCTTTATAATAAAATATATTGTCGTAACGTTGATTCTCGTAACTACCAACACCGATGTTAAAACTTCTAAGATCTCTATATTTCCAGCACCAGTGTTGTAGCTTCCAACAATCGTCAAGTGTTCGTTTATCCGTAGGTTCTAAATTTCCGATAAACGAACACAACTACTTCAAAGGCAAACTCTGTTAAACGTTTATTTGAATACCAACAGGTAATAGAGACACTAAACTAATCCAAGTGGCTACATCAATCACATTTACGACTTCACTTTCTCTGCCTGTAACCTGCCTATTCAAGACATATTTAGAGTCCGATTTTAGCGTAGATACAATTTTACAATATTTCCAATATTTTTCTGAAATGATGAAATTTGCAGATTGAAGATTTATGAACATTTTGCCAAAAGTGTCGTTAAATAGTTCAACATCCAATATAAACTTCTGTTGATAATTATATTTATTCTTTCTAATATAAATGTCATCCTTACTTACTGCATCATTATCTTCATCATCATTATCTTCATCATCATTATCACATTTTCATCATCATCTTCATCATCACCATCATCATCTTCATTATCACCATCATCCACTTTTAATAATCATCATCCAGGTCATCTTCATCGATTCGTAGAAGCCTTTAAATTGTTTCCAGTCCAAGCCGTCAGCGAATCGGCTGTGCTTACCGCCGGTGTAGTAGAAGCCGTTGAAGTTGCTGTAGTGGCAGTTGTAGTACCACCAAGCCCCTTGTTTTTGATTATTTACTTATGAACGGGTGGATGAATGTATGGATTGATGGATGAACGAACGAACGAACGAACGAACGAACGAACGAACGAACGAAGTAACGAACGAACGAACGAACGAACGAATGTCAAAGTAAATACATTAAAGTAAAATAAAGCATAAATCCGGACCTTTGAATGTCACGGCACAGTTGTACGACACGGCATCATTATCCCTGTCCCAAGTCGAGAATGCCTGATTGTTATGAATGGAGCAAGCTGACGGGAAATATGAAGAAGAAGAAGAAGATTACGATGATGGAGACGAAAATGATGATGGTGATTGGTGAAGAAGAAGAAGATGATGATAATGATGACGACGATGTTGATAATGTTTAATAATATTGAAAAGATATAAAAAATTTTCATATTTGTCAAATTGTTTTAAACGTTTAAATTCTCTGTATGCTTATTTCTTGATTTATTTCTGAATAAATTTATAAATTAAAAAATTAGATTGAAAATTTTCAAAAATTCGCAATTTCCTTTTGTCACTAGGACTAAAACTGGATTTCCAATAAATAACTAACGATTGGTGTAGTTCCCGCCACACGATGAAAACCCAATCATATACTTCAAACTACTTTCAGCCACTTTGAAGTCGTACAAGTAGGCAAAGGCCCTCGTCAGGTCAAAGGCCACAGCGATAACCTTCAACGTGAAGTTACCCTTGCCGGAAGTGTACTGACTTATGAAACGGTTTCCTGAAAAATCAGATCCGGATTATTTTATTAAAATCCTTACGATGTAAATCTCTTTTAGTGAATAAACACACGCTGTAAGACTGTTAGAGAAATTTAGTTATTTAAATTTAAAAAAATTATTTTCTGATAGTACGCCATGCTTAGCAAGAAGAGTTTCTGAATTCAACTGATGGCCGATGTAGACCGATAGACGATAGTCAAAATTTATAAACAGAATACATTGAACGGTTGTTAAAATATTGGCAAATTGATTTTTTAAACGTTAATCAACGAACCAAGCCAGAACTCTCCCTTCAGATCACCGAACCCACCCTCGTACTCCAGCCATGTCCTGTAAAAATCTACGGAGCCGTCGAAACGTCGTTGGAAGACCTTTTAGTGATGTAATCATTGGCATGGACTTATACATTCTTACAATGAATTTATAATTGATTCTCTGCAAATGATGAAAATTGAATGAACAAGTTGTACGCAAGAATTATTTTAAAAGTCCTCTCATCAGAAAGAAATCTTCAATTATCACCAGAAACCAAAGACAAAAATATCAACATGGAAAATAATGTGAAATGGAAGCGAGATAGCGTAACGGATAAGGCGCCTAGTTCTTCTGTTGCAGTGACTGAATTCGAATGCACAAAGATCCCGCCTGTCACATACCGTGTGTGCGATCCTTGGACTTACGTGTGTTTGTGTTTGCTGCTTCTGTTGTTGAAACCTCTGAAAATTAGAACTAACAATAATAATAATGTCATTATAACAATAGCTATATATATATATATATATATATATATATATATATAATTAAACTGAGTTAATGCCGACCAGATATCTTTGTCCAGTATCTTCGAAGTAGCAATACACCGGATATACGTAGGGGCTCTGTTGGATCCAATATACCCCGTTGTTGCTGCTGTTTACTGGACCTACCACATCACTGCAGTCCGTCGGAACTTAAAGTTCGAATACAAGTTTTGGTTGTTTGAAAGATAGATTTTGAATCTATAAATTGAAAAGTGAATTTTTTTTTTGACTTATTCAGAAAAATTTGCATGCTGTTGAGAATTTTATGAATGAGTTGATGGTTTTACAAACCTTTCTTGGTGCACGTTTGAACTCCCGCGTCAATTTTCTGAGAAGGATAAAATTCGTGTGAAAGTAAAATTAATTTTTCATTATAAAATCTAACCAAACTCAAAACACTGAACAACAATCTAATCTAAC